AATATTATATTTTTGAATTTTAAATTATTTAATAATAGCCTTATAATAACTTGATAATCGTTTTTGTCTGATACAGAAAAGATGGCCATCGCCGCCTCGGAGAATTATCAGCTCAAATGGCACAGCTACGGAGCGCATCTGCACAGCTCCGTCGCGACTCTGCTTCACTCAGAATCCTTCGCGGACGTTTTACTGGCAACGTCCTGCGGGCGGCACGTGGCGGCCCATCGATTCGTCCTCGCGGCTTGCTCGTCTTACCTCAGTCACATTTTTCAAACATGCCATTTCGGCGCCAACACCAACGCTCCGATAATCGTGGTCGGTAATCAAAATCTTTCTCACTTGTACAAACTTTTATTAGCGTCATTAATGTTTTCTTTTCGTGTAGTTCTTCTCAAACCTCTTGTCAAATAGATTCGGAACAACATGTAGATGTTGAATAACGGAATGACATACGTTATTTCATGCCGTAGGTGTTGCCTACGGAGATAGGATACCGCACGTTAAAAATCCTGATACAGTACATGTACAGTGGCGAAGCCACTGTGACCAACGATCAGCTGGAAGGAGTCCTCAAAGCCGGCGACATACTACGTGTACGTGGACTGTGGAGATCAAATACCGGCAGCAGCAAGAAGGAAAACATACAATCGAATAATCAGAAAATCGAACGTGACAAGCGGGAAACGTCACAGCTGACCGGACAAATACAAAAGATCAAACTGGTACAACCAACCGCGGAGAAGGTAATCGAGAATGTACAGCAAGCAGCCACGACTTGCCAAAATAATATACAGCCCGCAAAATCGGTTGAAAGGAAGAGCACAGAGAAAATCGAGGATAAGACTAACGAATCTGAGACTAAGAAAGTCTCGGAGGAGAAGAATGAGCAGAGCAAAAACAAGGAAAACCTCGAGACAAACGGCAAAAAGAAGAAACCCGTTAACAGCGACGTCGAATCGAATAAGTCCAAGAGCGAAGGTGGTGAAAACGTGAGCTAGGTTTTTTTAGGTTTAGCAATAATGCAATAAAGAGAAGCACTCGTTTATTAATGAAAAGCCTAATATTCTTTTTATTTTTTAGACTGAATTAAACTTGGAGTTGTTAGTAAAAGACGAGCCGATCGATTGGGAAGAAACGATCGACCCGTCGGAATCACTCACGATAGACCATGAAATCGATATCAAACCAGTGCGTAAAGCTACCATAGGCAATTGGTGCTTTTTTTTAATATAATAAAATTTAAGATAATAATGTTTGCTCTATTGTTGTCGCAGGAGATCGTACATAGCGCGGATGAGGATGGAGATATGGAGGAGGAAGAATATACCCCACTGACATGCGATATGTGCAGTCAAACGTTTAACAGACCGTCGGATTGGGTGAGACATATAGAATTTACGCACGCTGACATGACTGAAAATCGGAGAAAGAAACGAAAGGTACTTTGTCACGAATTCTTTATGTATGTATACGCACATGAAAGATTGTAAAACGAAGAAAATGCGGCGGTTTCAGGACGATATAAACGACGACAGCAAGGACTTTCCCCCTCTGAAGTGTGATCTATGTGGCAACATGTATTCCACACCGCAAGAGTGGGTGCGTCACATACAGACGGAACATACAGAGGAGCAGTTGGCCTTGATGAACAATTCGGCGCCCCCTAAGCCGAAAAGGGTTCACAATCACCAAAAGTTATGCAACATATGTCAAAAAGAATTCCCGAGTCACGCTTCGATGGTCATCCATCAAAGAACGCATACGGGCGAAAAGCCTTTTCTTTGCTCTTACTGTAAAAAAGGCTTCAACGTAAAGAGCAACTTGCTGAGGCATTTAAGGACACTGCATGACAAATACGTACATCCTAGCTTATACGGAAGTAATGGTAGCACGAACGCTTAAAGACCCTTCATATTTCTTTCCGACTATATATGTATGTGTGTATGTGTGTGTGCGTATATACAATATATATATATATAT